TTAGGCGAGACACTATTGTTGAGTGTCCACCATAGACTTTATTATTTTTTTAATTTTAATCATATGATCTTTTTGATGAACTTTACACCTTTGAATCTTAAGAGTTTATTAATGTTTATAGTGCACCATTGTCACACCCTCGTTTTCATCTTTAGCCTTTCATACCCTACATTCGCCATATCATACATTGTTATATTGCATATCGAGCATGTAGGTTCACAAGGTAAGGATTGGGTCGGTTTGTTGCTTTCCATTTCAAATAAGATAAATTGCCTATCTTGGGCTACATGGAAGAAAATGTTCATCATCTAAGGTTTGATCTAAGATGGAAAGTCTACTCATGTAGATTCCTTCAAGAAGAAGTTACTTGAAAAAACATTAGGATATTCAAGGGCAATATTCCTAATGAACATGAAGTGCAAGACCTAATTCAAGACTTCATTCATTTCAAATTCAATGGCATAAGAGAGATATATCATTTCAAATTCAAAATTCATGAATTCAAGATTAGATTCAAGAATGTTACAAAAAAGAAATTTTATGACATTTGCAAGAATGTCACATTTGTTACAAAAGTTTCTAACTCTAAGCAATGCTTAGAAAATTAAGCTATTTCTAGTCTTAATTCAAGTTTCTAACTAATTTCATGTTATGGTACCCTTCATGCCTCATCAAATCTACATTTGCTACATATAATTCATAACCCACAAATATCCAAGGAAAATAATTAAGGTTTAATTCAACATTAGAGCATTTCAAAAGCAAAACCATTTATGCTTATTCATGGGCATTTTTAAATTGATCCAAAACAACCTCATGACCAACTAATTCTCAACCAAACAAACCAAGTCACAAAACTTGAGGAACTAGATCATGTTGGTTCACTTACATGCCAAAATTCAGAATTTCAAAATTATGTTAAAGGGAGAGGCATGAACCACAAGTACAACCCAAGAACAAGTGAATAAAGGAGCGCAATGCAGAAAAAACAGCACTAGGAAAGTGCAGCAGCAAAAGCAAAAAAGCAGCATGCTAGAAATGGAAAGAAAAGGGGGTTGCACCAAGAAAGTGGTAATAAGCATTTCCATATGTAGAAATTCTGAAACTTGAGACATGTGCAAGCTCTATTGTTTTAGTACAGCAGCAAAAGTGCAGCAGAAAAGTAAGATTTATAGAGGAAAAGAGTGCACCAAGAAGGTGGCATTGGACATTTCTAAGTGTAGAAATTCTGGAGTTTAAAGACATGTGCAAACCCTAATGCTTTGGGTATAAAAGAAAAGTAACAACAGTAGAAAAAGGCATTCACTACACATTGACATAGAGAGAGATTGAGAGCAAAAAGGCATTGAGAAAAAATCAGAAAAAGAGAGTAAGAGAAAAAACAAAAGAGTTTGAAAAGAAAACCTTGAGAGAACAAGAGAGGAACAAAAAACCAGAAGAAGGAGGTGGACCATATAAGCATATCCAACAAAGGCCATTGGTGAAGGAAGATAGTAACTCTTGGGTATCCTTCCCTTTAAACCCTTATCTTTTTTATATTCTTGCGTGCTTTATTTTCATGTGTTTTTCTTGTGTTGTATACTGTAATAAGGTCTTGATATGACCAAGGAATGTTGTAAAAGAATAAAGAAAAGAGAAAGAACATAGGTTAGTTTTCATAGCGACATGAGTTGAAAATACTCATGTGTGCTGTCATGTTCGCTGGCAAGTTCGCCTAGTGAACTTTGCCTCATCTCTCCTCTGTTTCCATAAAAAAGGCATATTCTGGGCAAAACAACATGAAGTTCGCTAGGCGAACTTCTTGATGTTTTCTTGCTGTTTTTGGGCAGCTTCGCTACAGCCTTCTCCTAGTGAACTTCCCTTAGTTTTTTCTAGTTTTTTTCCAACAAAAAAATCGTTTTTTTTTTTATTTTGTGTTGTTTCAAGCCGACTAACCCGATGTGGTTGCATGAACATCGTATGTGGATGTTGTTACGATCATTTTTTACTTTTGGTTCTAAAAACTATTTTCAAAAATAAACTCTCGATTTTATCGAGCTATTTTCATCCTTGTAAGTCGACCGCCTTGTGCGTTCGCCATCGACCTTGTTCGCATCACTTCAAATATTTTTACAAACAATAAGACCCTTGATCCAACATCAAGTGGCATTTTTCTAATAAAAAATCCAAAACACAATAAAGATACAATTGGGGTCATACACCATAAACTTTAAAGTGGTGGAGAAGGAATGAGAATGGAACCCTCCTACACTCGTTCCGAATGTTTTGAATACAAGACGCTCGATTTGGTTATTCGAAATATTCATCTCCATCCAAAGTTTTTAGTGTGATCCTAATCAAAAACAATCTCTTATCAAAACCTAAAAATAACATCAACTCATCAAACTTCTTTTCGCATTAGGGCATCAATCCGAAAACCCTTTTTCAAGGTATAAAATCAACCAACAAACAACCATTTCACAAGCCTTCGAATTACGGAGCTTTGATTCTTCACTTCTTTTAAGTGAGGATACGTAGGCACAAGGGCCACAATCATTGGCGAACACTCTAATAAAAAACCAAACCCTTTTCTTTTAAGCAAGCAAACTTTTAATAAAACACCCATTCAAACTAAACAACCTAGAAGGTTCCCTTTGAGTACGATGGATGTGAGGGGGTGCTAATACCTTCCCCTCGCATAACCGACTCTCGAACCCTAAAACTTGGTTGCGATGACCATGCTCTTTTCCTAAAGGTTTTATCGTTATTTCCCTTTCCCTCCTTGGGATAAATAAAATTTGGTGGCGACTCTGTGTCATTTTTCGCGTAGCGACAACCATCAACAACTAATTCTTTTTAGGTATCTTCATCTTCTTCCTCCTTCTTCTTAATCTTCTTCTTCGCTATATTTATTAAAATCTTATAAATTTTCAAAAAAAAAAATTCATCAAATCTTGATAATATATTAATAACCAACAAATTGTACACCTATCTTCCACAAAATTAAAATCACAAAATAAAACTCCATAAAATTCAAGATAACTCAATAAACAAAAGTGAAACTAAAATTAAATATAAAAAAAAAAAAAGTAAAACTAAGATTAGCAATTAAAAAATAATAGAAAAAAGTAATTTCTAGTGTTTCACGTTCTTTGGCAAATCATCTATATCCAATTTGGTAAGCATGACTACTACTCTCTCTATTTCCTATTATGTGTGAATGCAAATCCATTTGAATGCAAGCCATATGAAGAATGGCGGTTATATGCTTAACCCTCTTTGAAATCAATTACTTCTTTCTTACAAATTTTCTCCACAAACCCATTTGAAGAACCTTAAGTTAAAATTAAATCAAACCCAAAATAAATTTCGTTTTTATTGCTAACACCACTACACGAAGATGAACAATAAGATTTAAAAAAAAAGTCTTCAATGTCATAAGCAACAACCCCTTCGTTAGAAAATTTGGATTAATGTGATAATGGTTAACAAGATAAAAAAATTAAGGTTAATAAATTAGATATTAAGTAATTGTAACATAAATTGAATTTCGTGATCTGGAAAAAAATTTAGAAAAGTATTCCAGAATTTAAATTTTTTTGAAAATTTGATAAAGATTAATGAAGATGGTGATGAAGAAAGGGGAAGAAGATGAAGATAGATAAAAAAATGTTAGGCGTTGATGATGTACTGGAATAATAAATAGACGGCCAAGATTCAACCATGTACAATTTTTCAAAAAATCAAATGGTTACAATTAAAAATAAATAATGAAGTCTATAGACAATCAACAATAGTGTCTCACCTAAGACGTTTAAAGTTAAAAGTTAACGGAACATACTAAATTAATTAACGGAATAGTTTTTTATGGATTAAAATATAACGTTTATTAGATAAGGGATCTAAGTGAAATCATAAATTAAATTAAGAGACTAAACGATAAATTAAGCCAACATTTTACAAGGAAAGAGTAAGGAATTGTACCTAATTGAATGTGTAAAAAGTGGATTTAATGAACAATCCAAAGTTAGAAGATAAAATGAGGGTATATTTTAAAGAAAAATAGAAAATTAAAAGTTAAAGTTAACGGAACATACTAAATTAATTATCGGAATAGTTTTTTATAGAATAAAATATAAGGTTTATTAGATAAGGGATCTAAATGAAATCATAAATTAAATTAAGAGACTATACCATAAATTAAGCCAATATTTTACAAAGAAAGGGTAAGGAATGGTACCTAATTGAATGTGTCAAAAGTGGATTTAATGAACAACCCAAAGTTAGAAGATAAAATGAGGGTATATTTTAAAGAAAAATAGAAAGAACAGAACAGACAAAACACAGTATTGGAAAAACACAGGGTGATCAAATATCAAACCCAACATTGTTGGAGAAAAAACTTCTGAGTATAAAGATACACAGATTGTAGAACAATGGCATATAAGCATAATACACCACAATGTATGATAATAATACATATAAAATTGGATATAACAAGATATATCTGCTAAGCATAATACACCACAATGTATGATAATAATACATATAAAATTGGATATAACAAGATATATCTGCTAAGCATAATACACCACAATGTATGATAATAATACATATAAAATTGGATATAACAAGATATATCTACTAAGCATAATACACCACAATGTATGATAATAGTACATTAAAATTGGATATAACAAGATATATCTACTAAGCATAATACACCACAATGTATGATAATAGTACATATAAAATTGGATATAACAAGACATATCTACTAAGCTTGGGATAAGATTGCATCTGAAAGGATGTGGTGAATTGATCTTCTCTAACAATGGTTTTTTTATTTTTTATCAGATGCTTCAGCAAGCATCAGTCAACCCAATGGTTTTAAACTTTAAGTTTACAAATCTTCAAATTGTTTGCAACATCTCTCAGCCAAATATTGACAATTATTTTGAAGAAGCTGCTATACTGGTGATTTCCACGATTACGAAAAACACAATAATTGGTGAGGCAAATTAGCCTCTGTATATACCGGAAGGCTCTGCATTCTGAACAATCCAAGGATGTTCTAGCAGTTTGTGCAATGGTAGTCGTTGAGAGGAATCCTTGACCAGCATCTGTTGGCATAAATATAGTTAGGAAAGAGTGTTCGCGCAAAATGCTTGAATGTATAAATATGCATAATAGAAAACTCTTGAGAACTTCACAAATAATCCATCGCGCACAAGACAGAAGCAAAACCTGGCTGATAAATAAATATATGAACGTGTTTTTGTGAGTAGCTAAAAAACTATAAATTTGTTTTCATAAAATACTAGGCTTTATGCATACAATCTCTCGTGTGATTCACAATGTTGCATGTGACACGTTAGAGAAGTGTGTGGTTTTCACCTAGACCTCCTTAGCACATGCAAACCTCAATTTCCACATATGTGAGTTCACCCTAATTTGAATTATCACATTTTTACTCTTCTCTCTCATATGCATAAAACACTAGGCTTTATGCATACAATCTCTCGTGTGAGCCACAATATTGCATGTGACATGTCAGGCAAGTGTGTGGTTTTCACCTAGACCTCCTTAGCACATGTGAACTTCAATTTCCGCATATGTGAGTTCACCCTAATTTGAATTATCACATTCTCACTCTGCTCTCTCATATGCCATCTATCCTCTGATCATATGTGATGCAACTCTGATCATTATCACATTCTTGCATATTGCAGAAACACTTGAAACCATTTTTTTCAGTGAAATGTGGTTTTAATCCAACAATCTAATAGCTCCCAAACTCATACTCCATTTTTAAACATCTAAAACACAGAAATTTGCCATGGTCACACACACATTTACATAGTTGTAAACTCAAATGTGAATTAGGGCATTCCATAAAAGTATGAAACCCAAAAAGTTACATACGCATAATCACAAAAAAAAGTTCGTCATTTAATAAATTCACAAAGCATTGAGCTATTCATGTAAGAAAATGCTCGAGAGAACTTCAAAAAAAATCCATAGTGCACAAGACAGAAGCAACACCTGGCTGATGAGGTCTTTTGCAGCAGAAGAAACAATTGGTTTAGGAGGGAACTTGAGATCCACTTGTATTATCCTGTTTACATAAAAAAATCCCATACACAGAAGTAAGATTAAGCATGGTAGAGTTCATACAACCTATAGTCTATTTAAATTCTTCTGTCCTAATATTTTCCACTAGACAGGAAAATACTACAGAGCTCATGCATGATAAAACAAGTTCAAATTTTTAGTGCTACCTTCTATAAGTATCAGAATGTTCTTTAGCCTCAAAAGGGGGGACTCCATAAAGAAACTCATAGCAAAGAACGCCAAGGCTCCATATATCAACACTTGCATCATGTTCTACACTCTCCACTGTCAAAACATTGAGAATTTAGGCTCATCATATATAGAGCGATAGACAAACATACTTAATATTGAAAAAAATCAAGTCATATCTAAAGTTACCCATCTCGGGTGGAAGGTAATCCAGTGTGCCACACATGGTCCTCCTGCGGTTGAATGTGTGTACTGACCATCCAAAATCTGCTATCTTCAATTCACCCTGATAATGAAAAAGATTATGACACAATGAGTGCAAGAGGAAGGAAGAAAACATCCAAAAGGACCATAAAAGAAGCATAGTCTAAGAGTAATGGCGGTCACCTGTGCACCAATAAGAAGGTTCTCTGGTTTAATGTCCCTATGAATTACATGCTTTCCATGGCAATATATAAGTGCTCGGGCCAATGATGCAACATACTGCCTCAACCACAAAATAACAACATAAACTGGTCAGTTTAAGAATATGGCCACATAACCAATCAGATACACATCCTATTTTACTTGTATCAAATAAGTTATCATGTTAAGCTTTCAGTATTTACTAGGCTTTTGATATGTTAGTGCAAATTACCAAGAAAGTAACAACATAAACTGGTCAATTTAAGAATATAGCCACATAACCAATCAAAAGCACATCCAATTTTAATTGTATCAGATGAATTATCATGTTAAGTTTTCAGTATTTACTAGGCTTTTGATATGTTAGTCCAAATTACCAAGAAAGTAACAACATAAACAGGTCAATTTAAGAATATAGCCACATAACCAATCAAATGCACATAATCACATCAGATGCGAGGAGGGGGGGATTAATACTTACAGTAGCTGCACGTCTTTCACTGAAATATTTGCATTTCTGCAATTCCTTGTAAAGTTCACCTTTAGGTGCATACTCTAATATCAAATAAACTCGTTTCTGCAAAGAATTTGTTTCACATAGAAAAAGTTAATAGCAATCAGCATAATTTAACCTTCTTCATCAATACACGGATCAATTCTAATTATATCGACCCAAGCAGAAGTATACCTGATCATAAAAGTATCCATAGAGTCTCAAGATATGCGGATGCCGAAGATGACTCTGTATCTCAACTTCTCGCCGAAGCTGATGCTCAACTTGTGATTGTTGCAATTGCGTCTTAAAGAGTACTTTCAGAGCAATAATATGATTACTCTGTAACATGATCACATTTCACATTTTAATGAACACATAAACACATTCTAAATAAATAAACAAACAGCACAAATACAGATCTATAAAATTCTCAACATCTACTCACAGTTTTTTCTCTGGCCAAATAGACATGGCCGAATTTCCCTCTTCCAAGAGGTTTTCCAATATCAAAATCATTAAGCGTCCATCTCTTTTGCTCCTGAGCTGAACCTGAATACTCCGAAGAAGCCTGCGAATAATCACGAACAAAACAATCAATAATCAACAATTAACAGATCCTGGCAACAACAATCCCAAATTCGAACAACAAGCCTCCATAATTAACAGGAATCGTCAGATCTGGTTGAAATTAACATAGCTTTGCAAAATAATGAGCAATGATGATTGAATCGATGAATAAAAATGGAAAAAAAGAGGATAAAGATGAAGAATCGAAACAGAATGTAAAACCCTAGAATGGATTATTACCGTGTGTTGTTGAGGGTGAGTTTGAGACTCGGTTGCGATTGCCATGAGAGAGAGAGGTTTTAGAGAGAGGAAGGGTTTGTTGAACGGAGAAATGGAAGAAGACGATGAAATCAGCTCCTTCTCTTCTTCTTCTTCAATGCTTCTTCGTTGGTTTATTCATTAACACCCAGGCTTTTTTTTCTTCTGTAACGGTCGAATAACGGATAGCTGACACGTGCTTCAATCCCGCTTTATATTTATTTTTCAAAATCCTTCCGTCCTTTTCTATTGCTGTCTTTTCGTTACAATAATTGTTTTAATTTTTTATTTTCATAAAATAATTACTACTATATCATAAGAAAGCCAACATTGTGATAGAATTAGAAATTTCTTTAAGTTTTTGATAAATACACTTACATTACACAAATGATAAATAAAAAATGTAAGAAATTAGATTGAAAATATATTTTAAAATATTATAAAAAATGGTAAAATAATAGTTAGTTTTTTTTAAATATAAAAATTGTTTTAGTCCTGAGCAATTTTTTATTTTCATAAAATAATCTATCTATTATAAATATATAAAAGTCACGGGATGTGGAAACATCATGTATACTCTTTTGACTTTACGTTAAAACTTTTCTAATTTCAGTGTTAAAAGTGTCAAATTATAAATTACTATAATTATAAGCATTTAGCAGTTAATGTGTCTGATGTGTCACTACAACAATTATTTATTTAATGTCTAACAAAATGTCTATTACACTTCCATATTTTATGGGAAATATAATTCCCATTCAAACTTTATTACTCGGACAATGGAAGGTCTCACAATTTTTCATGTATTGTGATCATAAACGATATCTTTTAAAAAATAAAGATTGGGAAACAGAGTTTTTGAGTGAACAACAAAAACGATTAGAACAAAGAGAGAAAGAAGAAAAGACAAAGAAGAAATAAGAAGAAGGATTAGGCAGCTCTGCATCAGGCAACTCAAAATCAACCATTACTCTTAATGATTTGTCCACAAAATAAGTTGTTGCGTCAGCACGAAATAGAAGGAAAGGAATTATGCAAAAGAAGATGACACAGACGTACAGACTTGGTGACAATATTATCAACAACAATAGAGGTAAAGTAATGTTCAATTTGAAGGTGTAAAGAGTGCACAAGAAGGGGGTGAATTGTGTTTCGCGTTCTCTTTTAATTTATCTTTTAATCAGAGTTTCAAAATCAGAACAGATGTTCAGATTCTGAGTTAATTCATTTGGCAGCGGATATAACAGAAGTAAATCAAATAACAGCAGAAGACACAAAAGATTTATAATGGTTCCTCATCTAACTGAGAGTATTCCATCTCATTGCCTCCAAATAACTTTTCATTATAATCATTTCATGGTTATAATCGCTTATGTTTCTGCATAAGACTTTTACAACTTCTCAGACCAACTGACTGAGACTTCCCTTGCTTAGAGCATATGTCTAAGACTTAACTTTTACTCACACCATCTGACTGAGCCACCTGCTTTACTGTCTTCTGGTTGAGACTTACCTTTGTTTAAAGCACATGTCTAAGACTTCCCTTTGCTCATATCCTCTGGCCAAATCACCTGTTATTCTGGCCATCCAGACTGAGACTTCTCTTGCTCAAGTTGCATTCAAGACTTCTTACTCACGCCCCTCAGACGAAAACTTTCCCTTGTTTAATCAGACTAGATGAATAAGACTTTCGCAGCTCAAGCACCTAAGCAATGAGACTTACGTGGCTTAAGCATCTTGCCTCAAGACTTGTTGCTTGAATCTCAATGAGACAAGACTTTTTACTCAAGCATATAGTAGGAGACTTAATCTAAATTGCCGAAGGCTCAGCAAAATAGAGAACAAGGTGTACATGATACAAGTATCATAGGTACGGGAAATCACCATAACAAAGACCTAAAGTACAAGATTTCTACTATATACGGAAGTAAGAAAGCTTAAGGCTTTTACAATTACAACCTAAAACAGAAAATCTGCATATTACATTAGAGTTGATAATTGTTTAATCTTGCTACTCCTTCATTAGAAGAAATCTTGTTAAGATTCAAACTTGAATCTTCAGCCATATATATAGCCTTTCCAGAAACTAGCCTTTGAGGAAGTGACTTGATCAAGTGTCTTTTCTTTCCTCCATAGTACAAGAGACGTTAAAGATGGATGTGTTAGAACACAGATTGGTTCTTAATAATTACTCTTTGTTTTGATGATAACTGTTAGGAAATTTATATTTAAGAATTATATACTCTAAAATTTGTTTGAGAGTTTTACTGCAGATTAAAATTAAATTGACTCTCTAGAAGCAAATCTGCCCTTGAATACAAGAAGCTATTCTGAATCTGAAGCGCCAGATGCATCTTACAGAAGAATCTGCTTGATCCTTACAGAAGATCCTGAGCGTAGTCTCCAGAAGGATCTGAAGAAAGAAGCTCCAGAACATTCTGAGTCAGAAGCATCTGAAGATAGCCAGAAGCATCTGAAGATAATCAGAAGCATCTGAAGCTGAAGCATCAGAAGTATAGAAGAATATTTATTGAAGAGTTTCTCAAAGCATTGATCTACAGAAGTTTCTGAAAGTACCTACGCTGCCAAGTACTGAAGTTCTGTGTCAAGATGCTCTGATGATCAACACGCTAGAAGCACACAAGCTGCAGAAGACTCTGATACAGCATAGTTCTGAATCTCATCAGAAGACTCTGATCTATTCAAACTCTGAAGAACTTGCTGAAATTGAAGAAGTGTTTTCAAGAATGTATCCGTTGGAATCATTCAACGTCTCTTTCCTTAATTGTGCTAGACACACTTACACAGACAAAAAGGATTTATCTGTGCCATCTATTTTAAGGAAAGGTCAGTACATGTGAAGACAAAAAGGCTCAGACCTTTTGGACTCTCTTTTCAACGTGGAAAATTCAGTTGCCTATAAAAGGAGCCTTTCACTTCATTTTTTAGTTACACACTCTTGAGCTATACACTTGCTGAAAAGAAACCAAATATTCATAAGCTCTCATTCTTATTCTTCATAGAATCTTTGTACTTAAATCTTAAGAGAAAAATCACTGTTGTGATTATAGCTTTATAGAAGCATTAAAAACTCTTGTATTTCATTTACATTGTTTGTAAAGGAATTTCCTTAAGAGGATTCAGTGTGAATCAGTAGCTCTTGAGAAGACTAAGAACTGTAGTTCTTAGGTGATACTATTGTAATCAGTTTGATTTAATAGTGGATTAAGACCTTGTTGAGAAAGGCAAATCACTCTGGAAGGGTGGACTGGAGTAGTTGTTTAACGAACCAGGATAAAAATAATTGTGTGATTTATTTCAAGTATTAATTTTCTAAACTTATTCAACCCCCCTTCTAAGTTATATCTCACCTTCAGTTGGCATCAGAGCTCCGGTTATGAGTGTGCTATCACTTAATAGTGTCAGTAAAGATCCAGAGGAGATATACTTTGATCTATATATTTATTTGTTATCATGGCTGATAATTCAATCAACAATAAATATGAAGAGAAGGATAGGATCAGTACCAAACCTCCAATGTTTGATGGAGAAAAATTTGATTATTGGAAAGATAGAATAGAAAGTTTTTTTCTTGGGTATGATGCTGATCTTTGGGATTTGGTCATTGATGGATATGTACATCCTACTGGAGAGGATGGCAAAAAGATTGATAGAAAATCAATGACTGAAGTGCAGAAAAGAGACTTCAAGAATCATCACAAAGCCAGAACTATATTGCTTAATGCAATCTCTCATACTGAGTATGAGAAGATTACTAACAGAGATACTGCTCATGACATGTTTGAATCCCTCAAAATGACTCATGAGGGAAACTCCCAGGTTAAAGAGACAAAGGCTCTGGCGCTCATACAGAAGTATGAGGCATTTAAAATGGAAGATTCTGAAAATGTAGAAACTATGTTTTCTAGATTTCAGATTCTTACAGCTGGTCTGAAAGTTCTGGACAAGGGCTACTCAACGTCAGATCATGTCAAGAAAATCATCAGAAGTCTTCCCACCAGATGGAGACCAATGGTGACTGCATTAAAGATGGCAAAAGATCTGAACAAGATCTCCTTAGAAGAACTTATCAGTTCTTTGAGAAGTCATGAAATTGAGCTGGAGGAAGATGAACCCCAGAAGAAAGATAAAGGTAAATCCATAGCTTTAAAATCTAACAAAACTGCTAAAGCTTTGCAGGTTATTCAAGAAAGCTCTGAAGAAGAAGATGAGTTGTCCATGCTGTCCAAAAGGATTAACAAACTCTGGAAGCACAAGGGAAAGAAGTTTAACAACTTCAGAAGATCTGAAAACAGAAAAGAATCTTCTAGTCACAAAAGATCTGCCAAGAAAGATGTGGTGTGTTATGAGTGCAAAGAACCTGGGCACTACAAGAATGACTGCCCTAAACTTCTGAAAGAAAAACCTAAGAAGAAGTTCAACAAGAAGAAAAAGGTTCTGATGGCAACATGGGATGACTCTGATGAGTGTGAGTCATCTTCTGAATCTGAAGAAGAATGTGCAAACGTTGCATTGATGGCCAGGACAGAGGATCAAGAAGAAGGTACCTCTGGATATGAATCAGAATCTGAATCTGATGATGATGCAGAAGAGGTAATGGCCAAACTTACCAAAGAAGAACTCACTAAAGTTTTAACAAAAGTTCTTAAAAGTTACAACAACATCAAACTCAAATACATGAAGCTGAAAAGCAATCTTGAATTTGAGATTGATCTTCTGAAAACAGAACTTGTTGAGCAGAAGGAAATAAATTTAAAAATCAAAAATGACTTTGATAGAACTCAACAAGAATCTGATTCTGAAACTAAGTCTTGTGAAAATATTTTAGAAAAATATGACTCTAGTTTTCAGAAGTTTCTCACTAAGAGCATAGACAGAAGCAAGATGGCTTCCATGATCTATGGTGTTAGTGGAAACAACAGAAGAGGCATTGGATATGAGTCTTCATCTGGAAGCAATCCAAAACCTGTTGACAAACTTTTTATCAGTAAGACACCTCTGTACTC